AATTTGTCTCACATTACTCGCAAACCACAAATGGTATTAAAAAGGTAGGACTAAGGATTGAGAGGGGTTTTAAAAATAGTCGACTGGAAGAATGGTTTTTTTTAGAGATATATTTAATAGAAATAAACATTATTTAATTCAGCAGAAGAATTTAGAGATAATACGTAACAATACAGAAGAATTAGTCATTGTAGACTATTCCCGAACAAAATAATTAACTACTAACAATGATATCGTCACTAAAGAAAGTTGAGATTTTCCATTTGGATGTAAAAGCAACAAGTCAGAAGCAGCTTTATCTCCTCTTTGAGGGTAGATGAGGGTAAAAAAGAAATTGAAAAGTGGGCTCGGAATTTGAAGAAATGCAAACAGTTGCTTGATGTGTCACATCTGTTTAGATTGAAATAGTTAGAACTGTATTCCTAGTCTTAATTCTAGCCTTCAAATATTATAGATTATAACCGTTGCTTGTCTGCAGTTAAGAAAATAACAATGAAAAATAAGGAATAAAGAATAAGTAAAATACTTGACATAAGTGGGGGCTGAATTACATTGGAAAGCCGCAGCTTCTTCAGACAGTATCTCGAGCTGAGAAGTTGTCAGAAATAAATAGCACGTGAAAAGACCAGTAAACATGCGCGGAAATCAGAATAGATAGTATTTGTGTTTTTCACAACAATAATATCAGTCTCACAAACACCATGATACTGAAGCAGTGCATACTAGTCTTGTTTACATCCAAGGCCAAAATTAGCAATCAACACTAAGTAAAACCCAACTTAAGACCATTTAAAAAAGACCATTATTAAACGTTAGCTAAGGAATCATATAAATGAGGTAAATTCAATGTGAGATGACCAACAGAGAAAATACCACGTTACTAATCTACTTAATAAGGTTGATTTAGACACTATAAGGTAAGTTATACAAGGAGGAGAAAAAGCCATTCAAGGTGTGTGAAGTCTGCACACTCAGCAATCAGCTCTTCATCCTGTTTGTTGAAAACCCGTTAATTTAATTCGTTTTCCTCTGTTTTCTTCTCGCGTTTACAACACATTTTTGCCTCGGTTTTCAAGTTGATACTTGCAGCTCTCAAAACACTCAAACTTACAACATTTTCTTCAATGAACGTTCGCAGAAATATTACAAATTATGGATAAAATAAGGTCACATATAATCTGCTGTAGAGTACAAAAAGAAGGTTAATTTATAATTTGTTGCATTTCACAGGCAAAGCTACATATACGGAAAATTCAGAGACGTTATTATTACTTCAATGTTAGTACTATCGCTTGCTTAATTGACCTTCTGCACATCGCCAACAGTGGTGGGTAGCGAAGGCTAAAGAGATGGAAAAGGCGGCGGCCATTGATGACAGTAGACATTTATTTAGAATTATTAAGGAGACTGGGGGGAAAAGGTCAACTGCGGTTAGTGAGGCTATAGCAGAGAAGGACGGATCTGCGATTCACTCGCAGGGGAGACGACTGAAACGATGGGCAGAACTTCGAGGAACATTTTAACTGGCCTCCAGCCACCATTGAGTTGCCCAATATCCAGTCGGATCCTGAATGGAACATTAAGATAGGCCCCCCAACACTAACAGAAGTTGAGAAAGCAGTAGGTAACCTGAAACGAAAAAGAGTGGCAGGACCCGATCGATTAACTCTAGTGATATACAAGGATGGTGGTAAGAGGCTCTTAGTCAGGTTAACGGAAGCGTTAACTAGTATGTGGGAATCAAATACGATCCCTTCTGACTGGTCTAAGTCACTGATTATCCCAGTCTTCAAGAAAAGCGAGAAGTCCTCTTGTGATAACCACAGAGGAATCAGCCTAACGAACATAGCGTCCAAGATCTTAGGTTCTATAACTCTCCGACGCCTGAGTGGAGCTCGGGAACAGCAAGCCCGAGAAAACTAGACAGGATTTAAACCCAGCCGCGGGTGTATCGACCAAATATTCATACTGTACCAGGTCCTGGAACATAGGCATGCTTACAGAAGCCCGACAATAGATGTATTTCTCGACCTGAAGGCGGCATTTGACTCCGTTGATCGAGGAGTCTTATCGCAATATCTCTCACTGAAGGGCGTGCCGAGTAAGTACATCACTTTATTGAAGGCTCTCTACTCGAACACTTGTGGGCATGTTAGAGCCTATGATGAGATGCCCAGGGAGCTATGCTCATCGTGGTGTCCGTCAAGGGTGTCCACTCTCTCCATTCTTATTCAATTTCATCACAGATATTCTTATGGATGTCTCCCACTCGTCACAAGATTACACAGTTGTTTACCTAATCACGAGAGAATTTTCGTCAGAATACGCAGATGACATAGTTCTGTTAAGTGAAGACGCTGACAAGATGCAGTCTTCTGGACACTTAGAGTGGGAATTTGAGAATGTTTGGTATGTGGTCCTCACCACCCAAATGCAAACTCTTGCCCCAGGATTGGTCTTCGGCGGTGCTACGGTTAACAATAGCGTGTGAAGTGGTTGAATGTGTTGACCACTTCACTTACCTGGGAAATAGGATCAGCCCCGCTCTGGTGGCTCAGTGGCCGATGAAATCTCTGCAAGGATACAGAAGGCTCAGTTGGCTGCCGCCAACCTACGCCACCTATGGCGCCGCCATGATATCCGTTTGTCTATTAAGGATCGTGTGCACTGCACAGCAGTCCGGTCTGTCCCACTGTATCGCTGTGAAACATGGCCATTGAAGGTGGAAGACATGAGAAGGCTGGCTTCAGGTGTTTGACCATCGTTGCCTTCGTAGTATAGGCCGCCGTATTCCGTGGTGTCACCACGTGAGTAACGCAGAAGTCATGTATGGAGTTTTAGGGAGTAGAGATAAATCAGTTGACAAGGTTATGAACCTTCACCGACTGAGATGGCTGGGACACGTGTTACGTATGCCTAACCACCGATTACCTCATCACACTGTTGGCCGGAGAAGGCCCGAGGTGGCCAGACTAAAACATGGCACCAATGCACGAAGTCTCTGACTGTTGGTTTAAGCCATGTGAGGCGATACAGACTAGATGGTTGGGGTCCGCGGGACAAAAGGAACCAGTGGCTGGAGACTCTAGGGGATATGGCTGAGAACCGATATCAGTGGCGCAGATGTATACACACATTATCCTTATCTTAAAACTATACCGATTCTCACCATTTTGTCATTCTTCCTTTCTCTCTTCTCGTGCTTTACATTTCTTTTGACTGAATTTTCTTATCCTCATCTCCCACTTCACTACCGTTCTACTTGATGTGCTGATATGAGCTGTGGCAACTCGGACCGTTAGGTAGTAATGCCTGGTCTTATGTTGATATTGATGATGATGACCTTCTGCAACAGTCCCTGAACACAGTTTATCTTGGGAATATTTAAGAAAAGAATTTCCGACCTTCCGCCGATATTTTCGCTCGCTTTAAGTTAGACACCAAAAGGGTGGTGACATGAGACAACATATACTAATATATGGTAAAAAGTTTAACAGCTTGTTTCTAAGCCTTTTCATGACTATCCTGACTACTAATCATGAAATGACTATAAGGTGCTTGAAAAGATATAAAACGTTGAGTATTCCCTCTGAAATTCGAATGTAGTAAACTCAAATTTCAACATAGCAAGCATTCGGAACGGGATCTACACCGAGAAATCTATAATTTTTGAACTCTGGTGGACTTCTCTAAACCACAGGGCAATGTAAAAGAATGCTCATTTACCGAAAATATAGTAGGTGTGACAACTTCACTTAGAAAAATTACGAACTACCTCTGAGTACTAACTTTACGAGCTACAGTAAATTCTTAGATAAAACATAAAATGAATCACTATGAAATTTACTGAAAACAACAATCTGAAGTGACGTCCTTAACTGACCAAAAGTTTCCCAAGAGATCGATAGTCGTTTACAAGGAAATTCTTCAGCCTCTAGTGTTAGGCCGTAGATACATGAAGGTGAAACAGTTACCCACCTGGGTTAGAGAAATTAAATGCATTACATGCAAGGGGGATAAATAACAGAAGAAAAGTAACAAAAGACCTTCAGAATGATCCATCTTTAACAAACAGCTAGCTTGACTACTGGCAGACGCATGATGCGAAGGAAATTATACTTAAATACTTTCCATTTTTGACTGCCCAACTTTCTTGTCTTCTCGCAGTTCAAAAATAACGCTTGCTGAGCATCTTTTGCGAAGAAAAGTAAATACATCCTTTAGTATTTCTGAGATGTCGGATTATATCTTCCACTTCTTTTATTCCATTCCAGATTCTTCCGCTGGCTAGGTGAACGACCAGCGCTAAACATAAGAACTCTTACTCATTTCACAAAACACTTTTCTTACAGATTAGATAAGTAGACGCATGCCAGTACATGCAAGAGTGAATATCGGGGGACACAAAAACGACCAGGGTGAAGGTGGCTATTTATCTTATGAAACTAACTAATCAGTCATTCAAATTCGTGTACGTAGGCCATGATTACCTGTGGTGCACAAACCACACGGAAACTTCTTGCAGTGACTTCTATAGATTTTTAGTACGACATGACAGGATTTCAGACGAACTGAGGTAATAAAATAAACCTGTATATATTTACCAATACAAAGGTGTTGGATTCTGTATGAACTAGCAGAGATGGTCTGAAGGATCATAACTTATCGACAGTACTCCATAATGGTCGTAATATCTATAGCCCTAAGGGTTTCACACTGACCTATCGTGAGGCTAACGGGACTAAAACAGAATACAAAACAAATATCTCATAGTAGTCAGTCTCAACAACTTAATAGTTTTTTGTATATTTCTACACCCTCATTGATATGGAAAGTAACAAAATTCCTCATAACCATTAGCCTATCAAAACAACTTATCCAGGCTAACAAAAATATAATGAATGATAACCACTTGAACCAGTACAAATATATATATGTGCATATATCCAGGTAAGATCACATGCATGTGACAATGAAGAATAATAAATTTAAAAACTTACGCACGAAAAAGCCATACGTAGCGCAGTCTCCAAGTCATTTAGCGCGGTGCTTATCCATTAACGAAATTAAACCACCGGAGGCAGAAAGCAACACAAATAACGCTCAAAAACATAATTACATAACACTATATTTTATGCGATTGAAAAGGAATGTATCTAGTCCAACTTTTGTTCATTCCTAACTAACATCTTATTCAAAGCGTTTCACAACTCTGAAACTTCTTGTTCAGAAAAGCGTAATGAATTTTACTTGCATTCTAAGTCTATCAAGATGAAGAAGACGGCCGCTTTATGTGGAACTTTTATCCTGTCCATTCAAGGGAGTCAATTTAAATACACTGCTTGGCTGCAAAAATCTGTATGCTTGCCAACTGATTTCTGCTGTTTGAGAATAATAAAAAGATGGCTCGTGGGTAACCACACCTTCATGCTAAAACTTAGCGTATAACGTTTTGCACGTTATCTCATGTGAGTGGTGATGCCTATTATCACCTTCCGTGCTTAGTTTTTGAGGGGTTTCATGTTTGTACGGTGACTGTGATTACTAGTACAGGTAACACATGTAAAACGGAGCAAAACTAAATTCTCGTTTCAAGCCGTGATCCTGATCTTACTCACAGACGTAATAGATAGAATGTGGTGAAGGGTAATATGGAGAAAAAAGTCATAACGAAGAGTAGGTAATGGGAAACCGAGAATGGGTACAAGAATGACTCACAGATGACTCACAAAATGAAGAGGAGGAAGAATGGTCAGGAAGCTGCTGGTTTCTAGCGAAATTGGTTTATCAGGCGCGTGCACCAAGGCATCCACCTACTTCCAACCTGAATGAGCGTAACTGAGAGGCAATGAGCATGACTCTCGACAAAACTAATATGGCCGTAGTTTTTGTTCCCACAGTTACTATTCTGCATATAACACCCTTAGGCTGCATTTGGGCCTGTTTGGGTCTAGCTGGATATTTCCTCTAGTTGATCTGCCTGTATAGAGTAGTAGGACATCTATTCCAGGGGTATATCACGGTGTGTGCACTAAACTTTCTTAATTACACACGGTACTTTCTGGGAGTAAGTGCAGTAAATTTGAACAAAAGAGATGTCATTGGGGCGTGAATCTTAAAGGGTGGTCAGTTGTGGACTTCGTAAACCATTACGGATAGCTGAATGCTGAGGGTTCAGACTTATTCCCCAGGAAGTGCTCTTCATGAGTAACATTTAAAGTATTTCACGGTTATAGGCATCTCACAAATTAAGACCGCTTTTCTCCTCCAGTGACAGCCGGGCGATATTTTAACGAGATGACAGTCCTCAAACACTATCGCTGGCTTCGAAATCAGTTTACCAAAGGTGCTTCGCTACGAGTGCAGTCGATTGTACGTTTCCACTCCATGAGAAGGCAGTATGTGTCGCGCCAACAGTGTCAACAGTATGCGTAACATTCCAAGAGTACTGGGAGACATATACGACTTATTGGTCGGAGGTACTTCTTTGGAACCCTTTAATGGAACGACGGTATCAGGATACATTTTTCAGTCTTGGTAAATTGTGTTAGGGCTGATTTTAGGTCTGCATCGGTGGAGTATAATCCCCAGTCAATGTACCTGACCAGCCGACATGTTAGCTCCCAATCTGCCACGCCATGACCCCCTCATACTATTTGTCATGATTTGAAGGCATCTGTGGAAGTGTCAGTTGGAAGGGGTGGCAGCGCGCATAATACCAATCTCTGATTACCTCTTTTAAACCTGGAGCCTGTGTCTGTCAAAAGTGAAATAACGTTGCGCGATGACTTTGTGCAAAATGTGTCCAACAGCCGATGTGGTGGTGCCCCGTTTTCTTTAGTTCCTTACTTTTTCTGACAACAGGAAAATCGAAGGGATACAACCTTGCTTTAGCTGACTTCTTTCTCCCGAATAAATGAGAAGCGAAAGAGGAGTAGTGGGTCTGTGTTGTGTATTTCTTCAGTATGTCTGTTCCAAGTGTCAGAAAATGTATTTAGGATGATATTGCTTCGCAGGCTGGTGTTGCGGAACTCGTTTCCAGCCAATGATTTATGTCTTGGGCAGCTTACACACATTCACCGTAAGAGACTAGTAAGAAGAAAATCTGGTGACAGTCGCTGAGGCCATACCTTTCCGGTAATTCAATGCACCCTCCGAATGAACCACAAACCCCGAACCATGGGGTTGGTCACGTATCTTTATTCCTACCTGCACGTTCGGTAAGAGTTTGCGGTTGTTCATGATTTGCAGTAAACCTGGACCAGCGAAATATTCAGTCTTGCGGGATGGTGTGTGACGAGCCCCCACTGAGTCTTGTTTATTGTAATTCTTGGAGAAGGAAACTGATAGCAGAAAAAAGGGAATCTGAACCCAGCCCTTGTACATTCGCCACTGGAAGATGAAGCGTTATGAATAGGGTCATGACATTGTGCGATGCTAAAAAATATGAAGCCAAAAGTCATGGGAGATAGTTTTGTATTTATTGTGTTCCAGTTTGGGCAGCGGGATAAGATTTCGAGTTTTCTACTCTTTCGGCCGGGAGTACAATGCGCAAGTTAGTTTCAAGGTGATGTCAAGGATCTGCTTTGCCACCACTGGGTACATTCAAGTGCATTGTAAGTATCGGCATATAGGATGGAAAAGTTTGCGCTGATAAAGCGAATGGAATGGGGTCACTGTCTCACAGTGGGGCTTGCTTATTTGCATGTTGACTGCTTCACCCCACCATCGCTGGCAGTTAGGGCAGCCTGAACATATATGCTTATACTAGGACTGAGGTCTCCAGATTTCATACAGATTACCAGCTGTTTTCGAGGGATATTGCATCGTAACAAAATCTGTGGTACTATCAAAGCAATAATAAGTTATATCGAAATTACAAAATACCTCAACGGTGCCGTTGGGTAACTATACAGTCCAAAACGTTCTCGGGTGCAAGTACGTACTATACGGTAAAAACTGGTTAAACAAATACAATTGTTAAGTATTTGACAGTCAATAGGAATATTCCCGACAAAAGGGATCAAAACTCTGTCTACCAGAATCAAATAAACAAATGAACTTTCCCAGTAGACAGTCAAAAGACAAACAGCCAAATCACTGCACAACCATAAGCTGGATCAAAACAAAATGTCGGGCATAGTAAAACAACATCACCTTGTCAAAAGTCCAGCGCCACGTAATGGGAAAGTGAAACATTCATGATAAGTGTCAATCATACAAAGGCAAATACTGAGCAAAAGGTCAAAGAGGACAGTCAAACGACCAAACAACATTACACCAGCTAGGGCCAAAGGTAAACCATCCATAACGAGGGTAAAAATATTAAAATAAATGTCAATACAATCAAATAAAGTGATCAGGAGGGATTTCCAGACCAGTTTTCCGTTATACAGTAGCGACCTTGGATTTCGTGTATTCTTCATAACGTTTTGATGACATGATGCACGCTGACAAATGAGATTAATGGGATTCCATATGGATGGAGGAATGGTTAGGTAAACCGGAAAAATCATCCAATTTTTGGCTGTGCGTCACTCATGAAAGTTCGAGAACTACGCAGTAGAACGCACGAACCCGCCTCCAAGCAAAAATATATGGATTTTGGCCATTACAGAACGCAACGTACCATCATTTCTATGCCTGGCATGCTCGAGAAGTTGGTCCTTGAATGAATTCTGGACAGTGAAGGTGATATATTGATGTATAATGATGTATGATGAGAGCCACCACATATATACTAACCTTTCATGCGAAGCGTCGAGGAGACTTCCATAAGTTACCACCTCAAACCAACGGCACATTCTGCCCCACCTAACACAGTAATCGAAAACAGAAATCCTACACCACATGACAGCATAAAATTTATATTTTTAAATACTGTATAGACTAAGGATATGGAATGAAAGCTATAGCAAAGGAAGTTAAGTGGGGAGAAACATGAACATTGAAAACGTTCTCCTTGTTGAAATTCTTGCTTCCTCCGCCTGCTGCTCTGTCTGTTTTTTTCTCGTCGTAGAAAAATAATCCGGTTCTAAGCGTTGGCTTTGTTGCCATCGAGAATTGATTACTTGAGGAAGAGACCGTGGCTGAAACTACCCTTCAAGGAGGGTAACCAGCTTTACCAAGTTCAGAATACCTAACTGCAGCAAGCAGAAATAAAGAATGTTCACCGGACTACAACTTCATAATTATCAAAATCTAGGATTTACTCAGTATAAAAGTGACCAGCAAAGTCCAACACTTACCAACTGCAAGGCTGTCACTACCCGTGAAAACGGCGGACAAGATGTTCTGGAGGCCCGTTTGGTGCATTCAAACAAGTCTGTTGCTTCTGGATGCTGGAGTTGGAAACGTGAAGACATTTGGCTTTCACTCATAATATTCATCAAGATTATAAATCTTCGTTATGGAATGGTGCTAACACGGATGAGTTATACAGTCCTGGAATCGTCAATGAGGTACAATATGTAAACAATTCATAAAATTTTCATCATTATCTCAAGCAAAAAGTACAGACTGTTACAATGGAAGTATTAGCTTCTCCAGGTAACACCTGTATTGTCTAGATACTAACCTAGTTTTTTGTTAATGCGAAGACAATACTTCCACTTGTCCAACTTGTAAATTTTCTGCACACTTATTCTGCTGGGATGTTCCATTATATTGTAGTGCCCTTCCTGGCACCAAAATATAACTAAGGCTAAAATAAATAGTTTAAATTAAATCAACTAAATAAATCTCTAGCTTGCCTCCGGATGCTTAGGGTGTTTAAGTTTTGTTTTAACGAGCATGCATCCCAGCAGGCTTGGACGCCATTTTGCGCGCCAGTGTGCTGATTACCAAACACGTACTCCGAGTCCCTAGTTCAGCCTTACAAGCCAGATAAGTTGATTAAACTTTTCCCTCATTCATTATTATTACATTTACTTTAATTAAATATATAGCTCCTTCAAATAAATTGCGTATCGGTTCTTTTGATTTGTGTTTTGTTACCAGTACTTACACGTTAGGT